TTCGACTCGTGATGAAGAAGGTAAATCATCTAAATTACAGATACCTTCGAGCAGAAGTCCCTCTCTTATTTCATAAGCATACACACTTGGATGTGTTACCGCTGGGTGCTCCTTGAAAACAATCTCTTGAGTTTAACACGTTGTAGTTACTGCACTCTAATAAAATATTCGATTAGCAAAATAAGCAATGCTTTTTAAAATTGGCTTCCGATAGATTGCTTTAACATAATTGAACTCTATAGGCTATAACATCGTCACTGTTTAAAACAAGGGTTTATTACGTAGCACAGTAAGTCATTTGCTACTTATAAAAATCTCTCACAAAGATGATCACTGAAGACAAAGGAGCATGGCAGAAATAAACTATTTAATTGGTCTTCCTGTGGTATGGACGCGTATGCCCGTTTTTTTTAAATCGCGCAGACTCATAAGTCAACAAATATGGCGGGCGATACAAATAAGTTTCATGTACGCCGCTATTTTTGATATTTACGTGAGCCTACGCTATCTTTTGTGGAAAACCGTATTCGTGAACACACGTGAATACCACAGGAACACCAATCAACAAATTTATTTCTGAAGAACTCCTTGCCGAAGATTGTCTTTTAATCCGCCACAAACATTATCCTTATCCTTATCAATTCGACTTAATTTAAAATGTAAGAAATTGTAATCACCCAGAAGATCCTTCCCCTTAAATGTGCGCGCCTGATAATTTTTTTTTAATTACCTAATTGATAGCATTATAGCTTTCGAACCAATAGTCAAAGGTACCGGGCCCTCATTGAACGAATTTTTGGACTGTTATGAGAGAGAAAATGAATGTTTTTACAGACTAACAAAATGATACATCAGTCTCCAAATTTCTTATCTTATGAAAACAAGATAAAGAATTACCAATATTAGCTATATAAAATGCTGATATTATATTTCAGTAAGGCTGCCATAACGCACAAGTTTAGGTATTGATATGCATTGAATTCACAAGTAAACCTCTTAGCTCCTCCCATTAGCATTTGTACCTCTTGTTACGCCCTACACAGTTTTTACCTTTTTGCTCAGTTATTTTAGGATTATTCTTTAGAGTCTTATGTTAGAAATGTTCCTTGTAATCTTTTCTATACATTTACGATCGATATATCCATATATTAGCACTAGTTTTAGCTATGCTTAATTCTTAGATTTTCACTCGTACTCGTCATTAGAATATCGCACTGAGGAATTTAATTATCCTTTCAGCCAATCATGATTTGACGGTTATATCACATTGTTTGGAGATTGACACCTGTCATAGAATCATTATAAATATAGTTCATGTAATCCGTTCAGCAGAGTAGAGTAGAATAAAGATCCCGAAGCTTCTACCAAGAGCTGTCGTCCCTTAACACTAACTTGGGCAAAAAGGTCCCATTTTCAAAGTTAGAAAAAAATTTCATGCAATATGAAAAGAAATGATACTAGAAATGAAATGAACAAAATAATAATAATAATAATAATAATAATGATAATAATAATAATGATAATAATAATAATAATGATGATGATGATGATGAT